GCTGGATGTCTGGAGCAAAAGATTTCCAGCATAAAGCGAAAGCTTTTAATACATTGGCTTAGTTTCCACATATAATAGTAATCCAGTCCGGGTCTGGTGCCATCTCAACGTCGACAAGACATATCTGTTCTAGTGGTTTCAGTCGTCTTTCCAGTGTAGAGTCATACAGATCATAAAAACCTGGGACGTGTCATTTTTCGCTTCTGGAAAGTTCCCCAACCCACGTGAATCGTATGTTTCTATGTCCCATGTTAGTATCAGTGCTCGATCGTGGACAAAGAAAGAAGATGGATAGATTTTGTAAAGTGGTTCAAAATTATCTATGAGACGAAAGTTATCAATGTAGACATAAAATGCATGTGGACAATGTTGGGATTTCGCATAATAAGGTGCGCTGAAATTATATCTATAATCGCTCACTAAGCCCCACCCAGAAAGTGGTATCTTATACTCTCTTGCAACTTTACAATAATATGTGCCTGTATCGTCTGAAGCTGTCTCTATTTTACATTCGGGATCATCATTTGAATTATAGCTTGAGATGATATCGAGAGCAGTGAATCTTAGATCTTTATTGGGTGTAATAATACGGAAATATAACTTTTTTTTCGCATGATAACCACGGATAGGATATGCCTTTATACATTCCATTTGGATTAGATTCATGTTAACAGTGTTCCCACTACCATCTTTCCCAGTAGCAAGAATACCTTTTATTTTAGACCAGAATTTGGGAATGCTCGTATTGTTAGGAACACAAATATCGAAAAATACCTTGATACCGGTAATAGTTACAACCGCTTTTTGACCATTAACGAGATACCCATAGAGGCGAAGAATATAGTGGGGAGTACCATAGATATACTCTTTGGATTCTTCTATGTTGACCGGCATGAATGGGATATCTCGATGGTTTGCTATCTCATCTTTGAGAATTGAAGTCAAACCTCATCGTTTCTCATAGCTAATTTATCACGGGTTGAGATACCCGCCAAGTAATTCTCACCGCCATATCTGATTACCTGATCCGATGATGTTTTTTCTTTTTCAGCCTCTGGGTGAAAAAGGGCGGGGGCATCGAGGAACTCAGATTGTATCATAGTAAAAATTTTCGGATATGTTATCTAGTATACCGTTTCAGTATAATACCCCAACAAAAAAGTTTAAAATAAAAATAAATAATTATAGATATCAAAGCGTTATTTATCTAAGAATAATATCAATGAGTGGTAAATACATTTGCCAGTATCGTTCCAATGAAGGAGAGGTTTGTGGGCAGGGAAGTAGAAAACCAGAAGGGTGTTATATTCACTGGAAAAGACGCCAGCGACCTCTATGCAAACAAGATGGATGTGAAAGACCGACGGCTTCTGAATATGGATTTTGTGATTAGCATGTAAAAAAGTATCACTCGAACGCATATTATCATCGGAAAAAGTTGGATAAGATGTTTCAAAACTGTCAGACCCCGAAGGCAATGAGTCAGGCTCTCGATAGAATGAAAATGCCTAATGCTATAAGTTGGCCTTAATGACTTATCAAAAATTATGCCCCATGAAAAATTTATAGGGATGGCAAAAAAACTTAAGAAGGACGCGTTAATATAGCAAACTGGCAATTTTAGAACTCTCAGAAGGGAATTTACTACATGTCCTTAAGAGCCTTAAGAGCCCTAAGAAATTTCGAACTCTTTATCTTTTTTTTATTTTTTTTTTTACCTATAGGTATACATATATAAACCATACACATATATCATATATATATTATACATATATTTCATATATATACCATAGAAAAATCGATTTTTTTTTCTAGAACTTTAAAATTTCTTAGGGTTGATAAGATTCTTAAGGACAGATAATAAAGAATTCAATAAAACAAGCTAAGAAGCCCAAAAATGATATCAAAGTTGACCTTAAGAATTACCCCAAGAAAATTTGATATTAATTTTATAAGGACAGCAAAAAAAATAGCATACTCATCGCTTCAACCCAGTTTAAACCATGATCGGACCTCGGAAGTACCCATAACTGAAGGCGCAGAATAATAACAATAATGTTGGCCAGTACTATTCCACAAATTCAGCCAGAACTCTGGATACTAAAATATATGATACAAATGCATATATATTGGGTTGCGAGAAGGTTGCGAGGAAGTGACGGGAAAGTGCCTGGAACTGAAGGCGCAGTAAATTAACAATAATGTTAGTCAGCACTATTCCATAATTTCAGCTGAAATTGGAACATAATAACTCGGCACCCAAGCTGGTATAAAACTGGCAACCTCTTTGGCTTCCTGCCAGTTCCTCGCCAGTTCCATAACAGCTCCATAGTAGTTCCAGGATACCACCAAGTCACCATCACGACACCAAATTGGATCCTTAAATCACATGCCCAAAAGATCGGCCAGAGTTATAGCATAGAGCAGGCAAAAATTAATCGCAAATCCACTACGCCACAGTCGCCTCTTTTTTTATACTATTTCAGTATTTTAAAAGGCAACCAAATAGACGCGCAGTTCATCCATAATTACTAACCAACAGGTCATAGAGAAGGAAGTAGACCCCCATCTTTAGGACATATTAATTTACATATTATAACGTCCTAAGACATATTAATTTACATATTATAATGCCCTAAAACATATTAATTTATATATTATAACATCTTAAGACATATTAATCTTAAACAAGCGGTTTGTCCTAGGATATATTAATATATTAATATATTAATATGTCCTAGGACAAACCGCTAGAATAATGAAAATAATAAATAAGTAAGATAGTTGCTAAACATTTAATTTGTTTAGTTTGTTGAATGATAAGTATTTCAAAATAATATAAATAAATTTATCTTATTTTTTTTTTTTTTTTTTTTTTTTTAAGGTGCTACGACGCCGACTGATGACCCCCTTGCACTTAAACCTAGTCAACAAGTTGATACTAGGCACCATTAGTTGGTAAAGTGCGAGACCAAGCAATCTCAGGTATTTCCCTATTTTTCAAGTTATCCACCATGTCGTGCGCACCCCCCTCGATGTTCCCATCTAAG